ACACCTGGCACTATTCTAAGTGTTGGTATGAATTAAATGAATATAATCTGCACAAGCACTGTGAGGTATACAGTGAAATCCCCATTTTGGGGAGAGGTGAGGGACTTCCTCGTGTATTAGGATGCTTGATCTCAGTCCACTTTTTAAAATATTTGTGAAACACACAGGACATGAAATTTACCATCTCACCCCTCTTGAAGTATAGTTTCATAGCCTTAGGACTTTCATATTGTTGGACTCCCATCACCACCATCCACCCACAGAACTCTCATCTGACAAACTGACACTGTGCTTCCCCTTCAACAGTAACTCCCCTCGCCTCTCTCTCCTTAGCCCGTGGCAACCGCCACTCTGCCTTCTGTTCAGGATTCACTGTTTCAGCCGCAATGCTTTGTTAGCCCTGCAGCTGAGGACTGGACGGTCCTGTGTGTTTTATTTCTCCTTTCTTTCCATCAAGCCATTTACGCTTTTGCTTTTCTCTTGAACCTTTTGCGATTAGCGTCATGCCCTGTGTAGGTTGTAAGGTGGACCAGCTTCCATGGTACAGATTGTTAGTTTCCTCATCCTCATCCAGGCTGGAAGTGTTTGGTTTTGAAATAATGTCAGTTGTTCTTGATTAAAAGAACGATCCATGTTTGTTCTAGGAAGTTTAGAAAATACAAAAAATTCATGAAGATAATTTAGTATTATTTACGCAACCAACTCCTAGAGACAACAGCTGTTCATTTTTAGTGCTACAGAAGCTAATATTTGCTTCTATAGTTATAAAACATTTATTTTACAAAATTAGAATACTTTTGAACATGTCGCTTTTTGGTCTGCTTTCTACTCAGCACATTGCCAGGAGAACAGTACTACTAAGTGGTGTTTTGACTTCTAGGAGCCTGGTTCCAGTGAAGGAGGCAGGATAAGTGCTCAGACAGAAGTGCCCCCACCCCCTTGCAGTGGTCATGGGATGCCGTGGGAGCAGCCGTGTGTCCCTCTCCCGAGGGTGCGGGCTCCAGCATGTGAGATTCCATGCTGGCCTGCATGGCCTACCTCCTATAGGTTTTGCTTTGTGCTTTTTGAGCATACACAGAACATAATCATATATTTCAATATTGTATATTTTAGTAAAGACATAGAGCATTGACTTAGTGCCCAGAACTGATCTAAGTGATGAGTGTTTTTCAACTTCAGGCTTAACAACAATGCTTGGTGGTAGATACCATGTTATTAATGAGGAAACCCGCCAAGATTTTCCTGGTCACAGCCCTGACATGCATGTCAAACCTCTGTAACACAGTAAAAGTGTGTGTGTGGGGGGGGGGGTGGAAACCCAAGTCATGGACATAAAATGACTTATGTAATAAAAATAAGATATTTGTGTATGTACACATGTATGTGTGCATGATTACAGCAGAGTATACCAAACTGTTGACAGTGCTTTGCCTGTGGGGAGAGCAGCATTTTTATATTTTTCTTGCTCTATTAAATTATATTCAGAGTTCTATATTCTCTTGTTAATTGTTGTAGAAATGAAAATATCTTTAAGTAAACTAAAGAGAGTTGGGACATCTCAGTTCGAAAAATCTTGGTGGTTCCAGTTTTCTTGACTTGGCCCCAACAGTGAACTTCTGCATTTGATGAGATCTCAGTGTATATATAGTGGAAACTTCTTTGACTCTATATAGATAGATTTCCGGTTCTCCTGTCTTCCATGGAGGCAGCAATAAAACTGAAATTCTTCTCATTAGCCTGAGCTGTTGCATGTCTCTCCATGTCCCACGGCATTTTATGAGCTTATTTTTTGACGTTCCTTGGTTATGGTGGTCCTGTTTAATGCGATAAGTGAGAATATTCATGTTTAAGGGGGAAAAGTGAAGACAGATGGCATTTAACCTGGAAGGCACTCTGACCCTGAGAGTGTAGACCCAATTACCATGGGATCAGTAGATAATGGTTATTACAAAGTTGGGAATGTCATAAGGATATTCCATAGATGGCCTGGATAAGTGTGTTTCACAGTGATTTTTTTTTTTTTTAAAGATTTATTTATTTATTTGTGCATACAGAATTGGGGTACAGGCCAGAGGCTCAGGGGCGGTGAGAGGCTTCACCAGAGACAGAGTGGGGAGCAGAACAGGCAGATGGACGAAGTACACTGCTGAGGGAGGCAGCGGGCGGGTCAGGAGAGGTCTGGCTCGCCATGTGGTCTCCTCCGGGGCAGGCGGCAGGCTGGAATCGAACTCATGCGGAAGTGGCCTCAGACTCTCAGTGCTGTGCTCCAACCCGCTGCGCCACCAGGGAGGGCCCACAGTGATTTTTTAAAAGTTCTCAGGGTCCTTGCTGGTGGGATTTGGTAAGCAAAGTTGGAAGGTTGCAGTTTAACTCAATAGTAACTTGTTTCTGGAAGCCTATTGTGATTGTGTCATTTTGACAGGCAGAATTTAAAATCAATCTATTCTGGAATATAACTCAGTGGCCTTATAGTGCCCCACCCAGTTAACAGTTTATAGGAGGTTGCTATACGCAGAAACATCAACATTGTCAGCTGAAAGTTTTCAGAAAATTACCCACAAAAATGGTATATTCTTAGCATGTTATGAACTTTTTTTTAACTTGCTGTATTCCCATTGCTCTTATAGTCTATATCCTAATTCTGATCCAAGTCAGACTTACTGATCTGATCTAAGTCAGACTTAGTCATCATTTCATCCTCACCTTGAGCTTCTTGAAGTCAAGGAGAGTGTTTGGGTACCCTCTGTGTTTTCTTAAAGGCTTTGAACAACATATATCATATTTTTTGGTGCTATGGGAATACGTATGAAATGGAATGAATATTAAATTTCATGGGTTACTACTTTCTGCTACTTCCTCCGCAGGAATATGGCATGTAAAGATTGTTGCATGTAAGTTTTCTATATATATTCAACATAAGTGTTTCCACTTTTTTGTTAAAAATAGGAACTGTCCAAGATCACAATGCCGGTTATATTTAATGAGCCTTTGAGCTTCCTCCAGCGACTCACTGAATATATGGAGCATACGTACCTCATCCAAAAAGCCAGTTCGTTTTCTGATCCTGTGGAAAGGATGCAGGTATGTGTCAAGCAGGCACTGGAAAGGGCTTAAATCTTGAGACATTTTTGCCTCCTCCCCATCCTCACCCCTTCCCTTTTATATATATAGTTAGAATTAAGGTCATATGAGGTTGGGGAAATTTCTAAAACTCAGTCAGCATGTTGGGAGTATTCTCTGTTCCTTCCTCTGCCTATCTTCAGTCAGAGTGTAGTGAGTAGAAAGACTAATGAGAATTTCAAGAGAAGCAGAATGGGATCCATTACCAAATCGGGATGGTATCGAGCAGTTTCTGCCTGAGCCTGCACTTTAGGAAGGAGCATGTGTTGGGGTGGGGGGTGTCAACCTTTCTTCTTTAACTCTCAGAAGAGTGCTTCTAACAAGGAATGAACCCCCCCACACACACACACATGAATCAGTATGCTGATGCTTACACTTACATGTAATATATACATATTCTACTATAACTTGAAAGACCACAAGAAACTGCATTTTCTGAAGATGGGCTAGATACAGACAGGGCATAGTAGTACATTGTTCGCCCTCAGACAACTGCAGGTGTTCTGAATGGAGTCTTTCTGTTCTGTCTTGTTTGGCTTAATGTGAGTTTATTGAACTTTATCTCTTTTCCCCATCCCAGAAGTGCCTGTTGTACATTTTAGCAATTTTAAAGTAATGAAAAGTAATTTTGGGTTTGCGGGTTTTTTTAAAGTCCTTGAGAGAATTTGTAGCTGTCTAAATGTTATAAAAATCACATTTGGGACTGACCCTATAGGAAAAGACTCAATTGTTTTCACTCTGAATATACAGTTTGTATATGACGCTGCTAGGCCATATTAAAAATCCAGAGCAGTTAAACTTCAAAATAATCTGGTAAATGACTGCCTTTTGCAAGATTTCAGTTCCTGAAAGAGTGAGGAGCAAGTGAGACTATTTTTAATTTCTGCTCATGGTCTGACCCACAGTGTGTAGCTGCATTTGCTGTGTCTGCTGTTGCTTCTCAGTGGGAACGCACTGGAAAGCCTTTCAACCCACTTCTGGGGGAGACTTATGAATTAGTTCGGTAAGAACTTTCACTCTATTCCAGATGGGTTGTGGAAATTTTTCTGATACGTAGCTTTACAGACGAAAAGGGAAAAATATTTTTCAACATCACGAACAATTTTGTATGCCTGGAGCAAATTAACAATTTCGATGTTTATATAATATTATTATAATATTCAAACTTATTTATAAATTTAATGATATACAGTAGATGAAAAAATTAGCTATTGACTGTTTTATTTATTTTCAGTTGCTTTTATTGAGATATTAATTTATAGCCCTGTATATGTTTTAGGATTCCATGCTCAAACCTCTGCAAATGTATCTTACCATACCAGGGCCAGCACAGAGTACCAGTGACCCTCCACCACAGTCCATTGGGCCCACACACACCACACCTCTGATATTTGTTGTTTTATAATCTCTCAAAACTAATGCAACATACATAAAATGAAGTAATTAGAGGATTTCGGTATCCCTGGTCATGCGTGACTAATTCCTATCATCTTTTGCACATCTTAATGACAGTTTTTTATAGCCATGTAAAATGTATTAGCATAAACTTATTCTTCTGGCATGAAGACAGTGAATGCTTGTACAAGCACCATTCTGTTGCCTGCTGTAGCCTGCTTCTTAGACACGTAATCAGGGATTCATCTGGCTTTAATTTTTCTAAATCTTCCTCTTCTCTGCATAGGCTTTGACTTCATCTGTCCCCTAAATGTTTAAAAATGAACACACTAATATGTGTCCACTAGCTTAATCTTAATATGAATGCAACAACGTTATGTGGATAGTATTTTATGCAAATCATCAAAATTGATGTGAGTGTTCTTTATTGTATTCTATTCAAGCAGTTGGAATTATAACAGCATTGGCTCTAGTAGTTTGGGTTACATTTGTACAATTTCTCATATGCAGAGTTGTTCTTTTATCAGGATAACACAGAATTACTGACTTTATCAAATTAGTTTCTTTACTACTTCTAGCATTTATTTTGACTCAAATGACCATGTACATATTCCATAATTAGAACTAATTGCATTTTTTTTTTTTAATCTTAAGAGATGACCTTGGTTTCAGACTCATCTCTGAGCAGGTCAGTCACCACCCACCTATCAGTGCATTTCATGCTGAAGGATTAAACAACGACTTCATCTTTCATGGCTCAATCTATCCCAAACTGAAATTCTGGGGCAAAAGCGTAGAAGCAGAACCCAAAGGAACCATCACCTTAGAGCTTCTTGAGTAAGTTGCAATCAATCCATTATACTCTTTCAGATCTTACTGTTCAAAAGTAGGAGATAAACAGCTTTTATAAGGTATGAATTATCTACTTCTGTGTAAAATAATTTGAGAAGCATAGAAAAGCCATTACCAATCTGGGTGTTTCTGAAGAATCTTAACTTGGTTGTTGACTGTGGTTTTTAGTTCTGTTTTAAAATGAGTAGATGTCCTTACGAAACAAACTTTCTATAGATGATGCTGATAATGTTTTGTTTAGCCATCTTCCAAAATAAATTCACTTTGAGAATATTGAAATAGTTGTCACACATTAGGTATGATAGAACTTACCATTTTTTTGCAGTAGAAAAAAATTAAATTCAAAGGTAGTTCCACTTCTAGTGAGGATAAAGCACACTGTAGCCTGTCTTTTCTGCTGATACAACTAAAATCATGGAACGAAGACTCCAACTATCTGAGGTTCTAAAAATCAAATGCCAGCAGGCCAATACGGGAGATCGATATGGCAATGAGTTTCCTAGGTTCTTTCTTCCTAAGCTGTCATATCTGACTTAGCTCAGATCCTAGAACTAAACAGTAAGGAACACAAAATTCTAAGAGACGCTTTCTCATTATGCTTACAACACTTAAAAAGAAACTCTGTGCGCTGTAGAAAGCAGAGTCAGTCCTTTATTTTTCTCTTCTTGTCTTGCAAAGTGAGTCCTGGGGCCCACAGCTACCTGGCTGTTGTGGTGACAGTAATTGGGGGCACACAGGTACCCAGAACTCAGGAAAAGTTCTTCTTGGGCCGAGCACCTGGATAAAGGGACTCCTGTTTTCCAGGGTGGGGGAGGAGAGTTCCTGTCACTGTTTTACTCTTTTCTATCACATCTTTGCCCCAAACAGACCAGCTGTGAGAATCATAAGCCAGAGAAGAGAGGCTAGAAACCCCAGCTTCTTGGCCAAGGGCCTGGAAAGCTCCTCTGGGACCTGTGAGTGAGGGGAAAGCACAGAGGTGCCTTGACTAGAGAACAGGATCCAGCTAAGCTATGTGTGAATTCCTAAGCTCCCCATGAGGGTTGGGCAGGGAAATGGCCTAAAATGGCACCCTGAAGACCTCAGCATTCTGAAATGCTGTGGAGATCAGAGTCCAGGACCCCAGTTGGCTATTGAGGAGGGGTCTAAATAGCACTTACAAAGGCTTTGAAAATTAAGCTGGCAGTGGCAGCAAAGGCCAGAGAATAGAGTCAGGACTTGTTGCCTGAAATATGTTGATTACCTACTAAAGAAAGTAAAAATCAATATTCTCCAGAAGACTAAAGAGGACCTAGATAGTCTCATAATATCCAGATGTCTAGAACATGATCCAAAATTATTTGACATACAAGAAAATAGGAAAATCTCAACAACTCACATGGACAAAACAAAATTCTAACCTCAAGATGACTTAGATACTGAAATTATATCAGAAATTTTAAATCTGTTTCATAACTCCGTAGGATAAAGCAGGACAGTCAAAATGAATGAAAAGACATTTTAGTAAAGAAGTAGAAGTATTTTTGGAAATTCTGGTACTGAAAAATATAATAAAAACATGTATAATAAGTAAAAATAAAAATAGAATAACTGGGAAAAACTTAATAGCAGAATGAAGATGATACAATAGGTACAGAGGCTGTATGCTAGAAGCTGTGAAGTACTATTGAAAGCAATCAGATTATCTGGGTTAGGAGAGGCGTCCTGTCTCAATATAGTTGGAAACCTAAACCTATTTAAGAGTCACTTCTCCTCTAATTGCTTTATAAGCAGTCTACATTAACACAATCCAACTGAAAGTCCCAGGATGGTTTTTGATATATAGAAAAGTGGACTCTAAACTTATAAGGCAACATTAACAACCAACACAATTTTGAAAAGCATGGAATTGACTTACATTTCTTTGATGGTGAGAGTGCTGTAATCAAGAAAGGGCAGAAATAGCTGTAGGATGGACACATCAGTGGACCACAGGAGAGTCCAGAAATTGATCTACAGAGTTATGACCAATTGATTTTTTACAAAGATGCACAAGCAATTCAGTGAAGAGGGAAATCCATCCTTACCACAAATGGTATGGGAACAATTGGACATCTCTGTTAAAATTGTTCCTCGACTATGGTGATGGCACATGGGAGATTTGGTAATGGGAAGCCCACGGGGATTACAACTGAGATGGAAAAAGGCACAAAATGGTGTAAAAATAAACTATTATGTTAATTTAAAAAGAACTCTCTACTATTAGTTTACTTTTATGTAACAATAACAACCTTTATGATGATAGTTGACAGTTTATTGGTCAAAGCAATAAACAAGGGTCTAAAAAAATTGTTCCTAAACTTATATCTCACACCTTATGTAAAAACAACTCATAACTCTTAGACTAAAATGTGTAAACTATATAAAGCTTTTGGGAGAAAATAGTTATGACCTTGGTTTAGGCAAAGATGTCTTATAGATACCAACACAAAGCAGAATTCAGAAAAGACAAAATTGGTAAATTAGGTTTTATCAAGATGAAACAAATTTGCTCAGTGAAAAATACTGTGCAGAGAATGAGGAGACAAGCTGTAGATAGATAAAAATCATTTTAAAATCATATATGGTCTTAAGATATATAAAATTCTCAAAACTCAAATGTAGGAAACAGTGCAATAAGAAATGGAGCAAAAGGTGTGAGCAGGTATTTCATCAAAAGAGATATATGGCTGACAGGCACACGAAAAAGTGTCTGACAGCATTAGTCATTTAAGAAATATAAAAGTCACAAGGAAATGTGACACGTGATTTAGAATGGATGACTCAAAACAGATTGAAAAACTGACAACCCAAGAGGTAGTGTGTATGCAGAGCTTCTGGTGTTGGTTGGGGGCCAAGGAGGTTAAGCCAGTCTGGAGAACTGTTTCTTATGAAGTTGTCCATGTGTTCACTTCATGACTCAGCAGCTTCATCTGAGGTGTTTAGAGAAGTGAAAAGTTAGGTTCTCACAGAAACCTGTACATGTGTACTTTGGCAGCAGTTGGTCAGTATCACCCGAGGCTGTAACATGTGCTGCCATTCATGAGTGATAAATGCTGACGGGTCTGTGTGGTAGGCTACTTACTCAGCAGTAAGAACACATTATTGATACAGAATTTAAAATGCATTATATAAATTGAAGAAGCCAGTTCAAAAGTTACCATCTTATTATCTGATGTCTTTGAAAAGGCAAAAGGATGGCCGTGGGTAACCAATTACTTGTTTAGGGAGTAGGGGTGAGTCCTAATCTGAGCTACAGATGAGGAAGGGTTTGGCTACACAGCAGCCCCAAGGGTGAATCTTTTGATGGTGGTGGAATTATTCTGGACTCTGGTTGTGGTGGGTAGCAGATCTATACCTTCATTAAAGCACACAGAACCGTTTATGTAAACTCTGTAAATTTAAAAAGAAGGATCCAAATGATACATATGCTCAGGATATAAGATAGTTTCAAGAACTAAGGGTATGTAAAATTGGATCTGTTTCATATACTGTCTGAAAGTAGAACTTTCCCATTTGAAAAAATGGTATGATTTTTGGAGACTGAAATACTTCAAGATTCTCCTATCTAAATCAATGGTAGTATCATTTGCATCCCAGCTAAGTGACCTGTCAAGTAGGAACGTATTCTTTCAGGTAGTGGCAGAACCTGTAAAAGAGTTTTCCCTTTTAGTTGATCTAGAGTACTTTGGAAAGTACTGAGTGGATCTTCTTTTTTATTTACTCTCTCTAATTTTTATGTTTTCATCAAACTTTCGAATGCTTCAAATGACTTATCTGTAGCTTATTTGATGTTTGGTGGGAGTGTCGTTTTTTCCCTTAACTTCTGCTTCGATATAAAGACCTGCATGCTGAGACGACTCCTACTTCATACCAGTAGAGCGTTTAAAATTTTGGGGCTTAGTTCTCTCCAGCAGTCTAATTTATTATTGCAAGTAAGAGTGTTGAGACAAATGCACTTTCTAAACAAAAGAACTTCTCAGTTATTTTCCTGGGCTTTGGCTGTTGCTTTTTAGACACAATGAAGCATATACCTGGACCAACCCTACCTGCTGTGTGCATAATATCATCGTGGGTAAACTCTGGATCGAGCAGTATGGCAATGTGGAAATCACGAACCACAAGTAAGACACCTTCAGACACTCACCTACCCCTTCAGCTCTGTTTTGGGTGTCAGTAGTCCGAGAATTACAGAACTAAGCAAGTAACTCTTGAGTAAATAGCAACCTAGCATTTACTGAACAGAATTTATCAGAGAATACCGTGTGGACTTTACTTTCCTCAACTTTTGTTTTGCTTATAGTATGTAGCTTGTAGTATTCACACAGGGGAGTTGAGTGGGAGGGAAATAACAGGTGAGCCTAAACCCTACCTGGCCTTACGCAAGTGCATTAGTCAGTGCAGGCCCCAATCAGTATGGACTGGGTGGTTTTCAGAGTAAATGTACATCTCACCATTCCGGACACTGAGAAATCCATGATCAGGGTGTTGGCAGATGTATGTCTGGTCAGGGTCCCTTCCTGGTTTGCTCATAGTCACTTTGTCATGGTTTCCTCTCGTGGCAGCAAGAGAGCATCTCACTTACCTCTTCTTCTAAGGACACTGGTCCCATTCATCTGCCCTCATGACTTAATGGTCAACAACAGCATCCCCCTGGGCTTCAGGGCTTCAGCATGTGACTGGGGAAGGGGTGGGGGAGGGAAACAGACTTTCATTCTCCAGAGCCTTGCTTTTTCTCCTCGGTGAGTCCACTACTAATTAAGAAGGAATCACCGTAATTTCTGGAGGTTGGCATGTATTAAAAAAGTGGTGAACATTAGCAACTGCTAAAAAGGGGATTAGCATCATTATTCTCTAGTGCCTCTTACCTGTTGAATAGTAATCTGAGATTAGTACCTCTTTCATAGGACTGGGGACAAATGTGTGCTGAATTTTAAGCCATGTGGCCTTTTCGGTAAGGAATTACACAAAGTTGAAGGCTACATTCAAGATAAAAGGTAAGGTTTTCCATTTTTAAATATTAAATGGTATAGGTGTGTCATTCATACAATATCAATATTAAAGTTCTCCATAACTTGGAAAAGATGCCTTCTTATAAGGGGGAATTGTCTATGTGCAATATCTTTTCCTGTGAATAATTTGATTAGGTTACAAGAAAACACTGGCTTAATCATTGCCTAAATATCCACTTCTCTTGACAGCAAAAAGAAGCTCTGTGCCCTCTATGGGAAGTGGACTGAATGTTTATACAGTGTTGACCCTGCCACTTTTGAAGCTTACAAAAAAAATGACAAGAAAAGTACAGAAGAGAAAAAGAACAGCAAACAGGTGAACACCCTGTAAAGGGGCGTGGGGGCCATCAGATGCTAGAGCTTGTCCTGGCCCTCAAGAAGGTGGCCTGTTGCTGGGCACTGTTGGGTCTCTCTTTTCTTGTGGATGTTCAGCACACTCTTGGCCAGAGTCAGGATGTGTGCCACGTTTGTAATTGTGTGCAGCTAGACGTGGGGCTGGATAGAAGTCATGGTTTTGGAATCTGGAGTGCATCTTCGACAAACTTTCTTTTTCTTCTCTGTGCATTAGAAGTTGAAATCATAACATTTAAAAGTACCTCCAAGTTTATCTCTTCTATTTTAGCAATTTTCTTGACTTCTCAGCGAGCACTAAATCACTGAAGCTAAGACCATCGTCTTTAGGGAGTCATTACTGGACTGCAGTCCTTCTCCCAATGAACTTTCTTCCCTGTGGGGCAGTTAATGGCCTGATAGAATATTCCACTTGCAAAGTACGTAGCTTCTTGTTGCAGGGCCCCAAGAAGGCACATTCGCCAGACTCAAATCTCTCATCCGGCAAAAGAGCTGAGAGCTAAAGAAAGAGTGTGCCTGTTTGGACAGGAAATAAATGAGAATTGACTCCTCTAGTTAGTGCCGGGGTGAAGAGCGCAGAACTGAGATCATATCTCAACCACAGACGAGTGGGGTAGTCTTAGATTTCTCACCTTCTTGCTATCTCAGTACCTTCACATCTAAGGTGGGGGGAAGAATAGCACCTACTCGTCAAGTGAGTTGACAGATGTAAAGGGCTTAGAGAAATGTCCGTCCACAGTGCAGACTCCTGAAGTCCTTCCTACAACTCGCGCTGGGTGAACTGCGCATCATGGAGAGTTTGCAGCTGCTGGCTCAGCTCAGACCCCCCAAAATCTGATGGCTTTGGGGCCCTTCTAGCACATGTGAAAGTTAAAGAAGCCCTAATCTTCCTCAGAAACCAAAGGTGTGATTGAGTGACTTCCTTTGTAAATCAAGCGAACCTTGCCATGGCGCTGAGAGTGCTAAGGTGAAAGTGTTCTGGTAAATGACAAGGCCATTCTGCTTTCCCGTGGCTTTGCATGTTTTCTTTTTTGTTTGCCTTCATTTCAGTGCACAGCTCTGCCCTCCTCCTCACAGCCAGTCTCCTGGCTACTCATCCCTCATCTGAGGAGGCTCACTGACACCTTTCCACAGTAGTCTGATCCTAGTGAGGCTGGGCAGGAAGCATTTGGGGTCCTGGGCCCTGACACGGTCTCAGGAGCAGTTCTGCCAGTAGGAGGCAGATAAGCAAAGACAACCTCAGCGACATCTGTGTCTTCTGTGGGGGAGTGATGGCAACAGGGGACATTGGTAGACTTCCATACTGTAGCTCTTGTGTCCCATGAATCCAGTTGTATGTGTGTAGACAAGTGTCCATAGCACTTAAAGACCCTGTGCCTATACTCCACTGCTTTTCTAATCTCTCTTCTACCTGGGCATCTGACTTCCACAGAGGCTTATGTTGCTGAACATGTTGAGTGCTGTGAAAAGTCCATCATCATCAATGTCTTCATCTCTAAGCTGTATGTTCCCGAGAGTAGTTTGCTTAGTAGTCCTAGGTCTGACAACTGTGTGATATTGGGAGTATTAACCTCCCAAAGGCTTCAGTTTTTATATGTGTAGCTGTTAATATATCCTCACAGATTCATTGTGTGGGGATTGATCATTTAGAGAGCTTCTAGGGTGACTCTGGCCTGCTGGGGTGGGGGTAGCTAACGGAAGTGTTACTTTCCTTTTTTAGCCATAAGCCTTCTTAAATTATCTTATGAAATGCTTGCAGGTTCCCTGTTGTTTTGTATTGTTGATACATTTAAGTAATGGCCCTAAGAATTTAATCATTTCTTGTTCTCATAATGATGTAGTAACTACTCAAGTGAGTTATTTTGTCTCAAAAAAGGGATTTTTAAAAAGATCAGAACACTAAAGAGCAATGATGTTGATGCCTTGAACACTGCCAATACTAAGTGACACGCACATAAAGCTCAGGAGACTCAGCACGTAGTCATGCCACAGGTTTTCTTGACACCCCACCCTGTGATAAAAGGTAAGGATTGAAGAAGGAGAAAATCATGGTGCCCAGCTCTCGTGTGGTATACATTCTAGTGGTGTATGATTAATGGCTGTTACTTTACAAATGGGAAGCATGTTCTTTTTAAAACTTGTTAATTTTGTTCCTCTGTTGGTTCTTCTAGGTGAGCTCTTCCGAAGAGTCCGATGAAATGCCAATGCCAGACTCCGAAAGTGTATTTGTTATCCCTGGAAGTGTTCTCCTGTGGCGAATAGCCCCACGGCCTCCCAACTCTGCCCAGGTGAGACTGGACCTATTGAATGTGGCCTGAGTCTGTTTTCTGGTGCTCAGTCCCCACTATGTTCAGGATGAGTGGACAGGTTGTCACCAGTGCTGCTCGCTGTCCCTCTCCTGGCCTCTCGCCCTGATGCCCGGTGATCTCATATGTCTGTCTCTGCTGTCTAGGGAAATGTTTAGGTGGGACTTGTGGGGGCTTCTTTAATAATTGTTTGGGGGTCATTATTAGACTGACTTTTATTAAATATAAAATGATACAACCTATTTGTCTCCCAGAATCCAACTAGTCATTTTTTTAGAGTAGAATACTGACTTTGCTTTATGTCTACTGAAAGTTGACATTCATAGGTGTTACATATCCTGCAAGGTCTTCTTCAAGATGTCTTTGAAATAATTACTCTTGGGTTGTACAGACTTCAGAGAAAGCACTTAGATATTGGACCTGAGAAAGTCCCCAAGAGAAGGGGGCGGTCAGGTCAAATCAGTCCTCTTCGGTGTTCATCTTGTGTTTTGCTTTGGTATATGTTAATTTCAACTTTTTGTGTTTTTTTTTCCAGATGTATAATTTTACTAGCTTTGCAATGGTCTTGAATGAAGTAGACAAGGAAATGGAAAGTGTTATTCCTAAGACAGACTGCAGGTTGCGGCCTGATATCAGAGCCATGGAAAATGGAGAAATAGGTAACTAGCATCTGATGGTACTTCCACTGAAAAATAATTTCTTTGAGAATGATGATTTTTTTTTTATTCCTAGTGATTGTTCACCAAGTCTCTATTGGAGATTTTTTTAATTAGAATTCAATTTAGTAAACTTATTTTCAATGTAGAACTATAAGATAGACTTTATTAGGTGATAACTTATATTTCATTAATATTCCCTGGTAATGTACTGTATATGGCCAGAGGCAGATTTTATTTAAATATATATTTATGTGTACAGTAATAGGGGTACAGGCCAGAGGTGCAGGGGGTGAGAGGAATCACCAGAGACACATTGGGGAGCAGAACAGGCAGATAGAAATACACCACTGAGGGGAGCAGCAGGTGAGACAGGAGAGGTCTGCTGTGCCATGTGGGTCACCTCCCTGGCCTGCGATCAGAAGTGCTGCAGTGGCTGCAGAGCTTCATAGTCCTGTGCTTTAACCTGTTGTGCCACTAGGGAGGGCCCCAGAGGCTAGTCAGAAGGGGATGGGAGAAAAACAGCTTTAAACTGTATTGTCATTGATTATTTTATTATAGATTTAAGAATTTAAATGTCTCCTTGTTAGCTATGAAGAAGAGCTTGTCTTCTCCTTGACTAATTATAGTGTTTTTTGTCTTCTGGTGCTAAATTTCTTCCAACTCACTGGTTCTCAAAGCGGGGGAAGCAGTTTTTCCTCAGGAGACATGTAGTAATGTCTGGAGACTTTGGTTGTCACTCCTAGGAAGCTGCTTACAGCACACAGAACGCCCACCCACAAAGAATCATCCAGTCCCCTGTCAGTAGTGCCACAACTGGGAAATCTTACACTGACCGCTCTGATACTATCTTTGGATGAGCAATGAGACTGTTTTGAATGTTTGAGTGTTTTGAAAAAATTTTCAATTTCTTATGAATGTAATTTTAAGAAGCTCTGTGAGGTCTCACTAAGAATTTAGGGGGGAAATGACAATTATTTCATTTTCCATCCAATTTTTTATGGACGTATTTTCACACACACACACACACACACACACACACACACACACACATATATATATAGGTAAATGGTTGTTAAGAATTAGGCTGTAGGAAGACACTGAATGGATCTTGAATGCCAGTTCTGCATATTACTTACATAGGTGTTAATATTTTTTTTATTTAAAGATTTATTTATGAATACAGAACTGGGGTACAGGCGAGAGCTGGTGAGAGGATTCACCAGAAACAGTGGGGACCAGAACAGGCGGGTTGATAAAGTACACTGCTGAGGGGAGCAGCAGTCAAGACAGTAGAGGTCTGCTGCATCATGTAGGTCACCTCCCTGGCTTGGGATAGAACTCATGCTGCAGTGGCTGTGGAGAACTTCATAGTGTTGTGCTTTAACCTGTTGTGCCACCAGGGAGGGCCTAGTGTTAATATTTTATCTTGATGTTCCGCTGTGTTGTGTTCTAATAAAATGCAAATCATGCCAGTACTTACAGATGGCGCTTCTCCATAAAGTTCTTGTGCTTAACACTATACCTGACAGTCTCTATTATAAAATAACTATTTTTTCATTGGTATTTTTATTTTAGATCAAGCTAGTGAGGAAAAAAAACGGCTTGAGGAAAAACAAAGAGCAGCTCGCAAAAACAGGTCCAAGTCAGAAGAGGACTGGAGGACAAGGTGTGTGACGCTGACCCCAGGGCTGAGCCCTAAGACAAGCTCCTGGGGGCGGGGGTGTAGAGGAAGCAGGGCTGTCAGACCTGTGTTACTGCAGAGGAAGGGGAAGGGCGGACATTTGCTCCACCTGGTGGTTTCCAGACTGGGACAAAATATTCTGACCGAAAGAAAAGTATTTGGAAATTAAGGTTAAAATACTTCCACACAATCTTCTCAGGTCAGTGTCAAAAGCAACTGTCTTTCTTCCTTATTTAGTAAAATCAAAATCCCAAATTAAGAGTTTGGCATGGAAACAGACCCATATTAGTTGAGAAAATGACAGAGACATTTGTTTATACATTTATCCTGTATCAAGTATATTTACACAGCGCTGCTACTCTTACAAACACAAGAGTTTTGACATGTAGTGGAAATACATTTTGTATAAAGTGATATCTTGGACCCATTCAGAAATAAAAAGTATGTGATAAAATTTCTAAGCTTTGAAAAAATTTTTTTAAAGAATCAGGAGGATACTTAGTCAAGAGTTACTGCAAAATATTTCAGGTAATTGGTAGCTCTTTTGCATCTCTGAAAAGTAACTTTTATAACTAGACGTGACATTCGATGACCTCTAGTCTACTGGCTTTTCACTATTTTGTCAGCTTCAACATCTCTCTTGCCAGTGGATGTGTAAAGAATATGGACAGCTCGAACGCATGGATCAGAGCTGCTGTGTTGCCAAGGGCGGGGCCTCGGTCACTCCCCCGCTTCTCCCACCCTCACTCCTGCACCTAAAACTCTGTGGAATAGTTTGAAACCCTCTAGCCTAGATACCCCTTTGTTATACTGGAGGAAATCAAATGGTGATGGATTTCATCTTGAGGACTTAGTCAAGAGCACGCAGCCAGGAAGGAGCAAACTTAGACTGAGGCCCTCCCAACCCCACAACACCAGTCTTTCAGGTGAAGCCACATCACTGTATGAGATCACTTTTGGAAAGTCTGGCCTAGTCTCTTTTGCAGAAAATCTCTTTTGTACTATATTATTGATTTGTAACTTAACTTTCTGGTCATATCTTCAGGTATATAATGAAAGCAAAAAGTTCACTAAGAAATATGCTGTCAGGTCTCTGAGACAAGATTACTTTTGTACCTAGTTAGCAAAAAGCACTCAACAGTTCTTAAAAGCTACTTTAAAATAACAAGTAGAGGCCAATTTGGGGCATATTAATATACGTATTATTACGTATGTTTTCTTCCATAGCTGTCTTCACTTAGCATCAGTAGTTCTTAGGAGATTATGCTGATTTTTCCGAGGATTCTGCCATCCCTTTGTCAAAAGATTATGCTTTGAGCACTGTTTTAGTAGTGATAACAACATTGCACATTCACTGATTTCTTTTTGACTCATCTTCTTTTGAATAACTTGGCTCAGTGTGAGTAGACACACAGGCACTTTTGTGAAGGAACATTTTCTGCTAGGTAGTGCTAACGAGCCTTCGTAAAAGTCAAACCCAGAAATTGATCAGTTGACCTGACTTCTTGGGCTAAAAGCTGGCATTTCTGGTAGTATTTGTTTTACTCACTTGAAGATGAGGGTTAAGGTTTCAGGGTTTTTCAGGCTCTAAACTGGTCGCTACTAATGAAAAAGTCTATTATTTTGTATTGAAGTAACTGGTTTACAACACTTTATAGAATTTAGGGGACTGGGTTCACACTTCAGATATATGTTGCCCTACCACACCCAACACCAAATTGCCCATAATCCTTCACCACAGACCATAGGGTCCCCTGGCTCCTGTACTTCCCTGTCTTCACTCCCCTTCTGGCAGCTTCAATTCTGTAATCCTATTTCTAGGGTTTGTTTTCATTTGTCTGTTATTTCATATTCTACATATGCGTGAAATCATCCAGTAATTGTCTTCTTCTTCTGACTTCACTTAACACAATCCCCTTAAGTTCATCTACACTGTTGCAAATAGCCAGATTTCACTTTGCGTATAGCTGAGTAGTATTCCATGGTGTATATATACCAATCTGCTCATCTTTGTTGGGCACTTGAGTTGTTTCTCAGCTTGAGTATTGTCAGTGGTGCTATAGTGAACACAGGAGTGCATCTATGCCTTTGAATTAGTTATTTGCATTCTTCCGGCAGGTACATGGGAGTAGAATTGCTAGATTATATGGACAATATGTTGTTAGCATTTGGAGAATCTCTAATGTTTTTCATAGGGCTTCATTATTTTGAAATCTTACGAATAGTGCAAGGTTTCCTTTTTCTTCATACCCTTGTCAACAGTCATTTCTAGTCTTTTTGATAGGACCCATTCTCATAGGTGTGAGGTGGTGCTTTTGATTTGCATTTCCTTGATAAGTTATGATGAGCCAAAAATGGCTACTTTTGATCCTGACCTGTTTTTCTAGAGGAATCTGCAGACTTTACTAAGTGGGGTATGTGGAGGAAGGGGGAGGGGGTTGGAGGGAGATGGTGGGAAACAGGTCTTGAAGAGGTAGGGGCTGAGGCAAAATAATTGGTCACAATTGCCTCCCCACATAGTATGAGAATTCTGCAGAGTTAGTGTTTTATAGAATGTTATTGATATAGGCCCATGGAGACTCAAAGACATTGGAAAGCTGTAGCAAAGATGATCTCGCCCTCTTATTTCCTATCTGTTATCCATGAGTTTTTAAAAAGCTCTTAGAAATGAGACTTTAGAAATTAGGTTTTTTGAATGTACCTTTCTGGGAAATGTCTCCTTGCAACTTTGCCTTCTCCCCGCTTCCCATTTTATGCAGAAGAATCCTATGCCACAGGGCCTGAGGCTTGGTTAATTTTTAATGTTACTGTTGATGACCCGGGCTTTGATTTGCCAGTTTTTCTTGCAGTGTTGACTTTGCTGAGCCTGACTACAGAGGTGATTTTGCTTGGACTATTGAGACACAAAGGAGTATAACTATATACTTCACATTAGGCAAAAATTTTGTGACCTTAAGTGTTTAATGTATTTTGTGACCTTGATTGTGTTTAATGTATTTCTAGTTTGCTTTTCTAACTCTGAATACCACATCTTAATCATTTCAAGTAGATGTTTAAATTTCTAACAGGGAAAAGCCCTAAAAGCTAAATTATGAATTTATATAGTATTCTAGAAAATTTGGACTAGTGCACCTTTACAGTGATACTTTTAAGGAATAGACCAACTTGGAAATTTATTTAAACAATTAAGTTTAGGTTGAGTTTAGGTTTGTTTAAATATTTTTAGAAGCCATTTACTTTGGAAAGAATCTCAGACACTTAAAACTTTTTATAAATGTTAATCTGAAAATGAAATCATATTTAGAATATGTCACACAAATGGGTGAACCTTTTAAGCAATATTTTAATTGTCCCAAAGCGAGCTAGGGCTACTGAAATGGGTGGTATGTTTCTTAAAGAGCAAGATAATGATTAGCAGCTTTTTCTAGAATTAGATTGGTTAAGATGTTAAAAATTCAATCCAATTTTAAAGTCCATATCAGCATGGAAAAAAATTGAGATCCAAGATGATTTGCGATAGTTTTAGTAGATTATGGAGCATGCTGTATTTATCTTATAGTGTATTTGAATGAGGATGATCTTTAAAATCAAAGTATTAAAATAAAGCTTTAGTTTGATATTACGTGCTTGAACAAGCTATTCAACTTCTCTAGAGTTTTAAGGTAGGGACACTTACTCTGAGCCAAGTTTTTCCATATTACTGTAGGTATGTTGTAAAAAGTTAACTCTTATCCTAATTCCTAGTTGTGTTAAAGAATGCCTTTTGGTAGAAGTTAAAGAATGGAACTAGAGAATAGAATAGAATAAAGCAATATATTGTTTATAACCCTACTAGACAGAAGATTTGTTAAAAGTACTATTGCTAAATGCTATGGAAATACATAAACTTTTCGTGTGATATCACTATAAACCATTTGGAAGATTACGAACATACAGACACTTTCTAAAAACAGTATCCCTTCTTCCAAGTCTCTTTGGAAACCCGACTTGGAAAATGAAGTAAATTGTTGCAGTAGGGAATACTGTGAACTAGTAAAGTAGTAGAAAGTGGAGATTTCAAATTTTCCCCATTAATATTGTTCTTTCTCTTTTAAACAGGTGGTTCCATCAAGGTCCTAATCCCTACAACGGAGCACAGGACTGGCTTTACTCTGGCAACTACTGGGACAGAAACTACTTCAATTTGCCTGACATTTACTAAAATACAGACAAGTCAAGGCATTTAGTTGATCTATAAATAAGTCTTAAACCATGTTTTAAATTTTTTCTCCTTGGTTTCTACTCATCTTTTCAAAAATGAAAAATCACTCATGAATAACTTGCATTTCACCCAATAAAAGTAGGGCATAAGGTGATATTGGTGATGAGTCTTGGGAAAAATGGATAATTTTACTATCCAAACATACTTGGAATACTATTTTATATAGTAAGAGAAATTGCTGATGAATATGCTTTTTATGGTTGCTATTGCCATATTTACTGAAGGTTTATACCTAAATGTAACATTAGCTTTATGAAATTATAGTGATTCTGAATCAAGTTATTTTAAATATTTTTATGCTGTAATGCTTGAATGTTTTAGATGTAACTTGGAAATGTTTAGAATTCTATACATTGTTTTATGTGCGCAAATGTAGAGAAGGCTACATTGATAAGATGGCTTCTGTTTATACTAATCCTCTCAACTTTGCCACCTCCCACCTCCAAAAAGAAAAAATTCCTTCACTATTCAGAACAAGTATTCCTGATTTGAAAGCTGAAGAATTAAACTGGAAAAGGTATTTTAATTTCTTATTTACTGCTTTGAGTTTACAATTTTGTATAATCAGTGTCTTTAGAAGAGGTGAATTGTACATTTGAATTGAAATTAGTGATTGACAAAAATGCCCTAGAAGTAGATTTTTATCATTATTGTTACATGACAAACCCTTCTAAACGGTTCAACTTTCAATGGCAAATACCACCAGAGAAATTAAGTTACACTCATATATGTATTATAAGTATCAAACTATATGAAAGGAGGTCTTTGCATTTCAAGTTTGCAAGGCTCCTTGTACTTAAAATATGTATGGAGACCTACTGTACAGTACTAGCACTGCCCCTTTCATCGGGGTGTATTAATCTTATATTTATCAACCCGAGATATATTGCCCCAAGGGACCTTAGGTAGCTGCCAGTAAATTATTTTAATTGCTGTCTTAAAGTAATAAGTGTTATAACTAATCTGTGCTAAATAAAGGCTTTAGAATATTCCCAGAAAGTGTGGTTTCTTTTAAACTTTCTAGTAGACCAATGTTGCCACTGTCCCTAGGGCCAGAGCTAAGCACACGGTGCTTATTGTAGTGAGCTGCTGTGCCTCAGTGTGATGCCAAATTATCAAGTGGGAACACCTGCCTAGAAAGCTTGTGGTTAGAGTACTGGAGTGAGAATGGTTAATTTTTTTGTTTTACTATATATACAGAACTGGAAAATGCTGTTGCATGACAAGTCACAAAAGAGGTCTTTTGTGTTCAATTGTTTGTATATATCCTCAATTACAGAGTGAAAATACAGAGCTTTATGCTTGCATGAAGTTTATTGATACTTTACGCCTGGTGGCCGACTCCACCTTGAACGAGGTTTCAGACAGTGTCATCTTGGGCATCTGTTAGGAATAATGCAAATAATGAATTGTTTAAAATCATGAAACTAACATGTGAAATGAATATATCAGAAAACGAGGTCTAACCTCTTATCTGTCTAGTCAGTTACCTGTGCATTTGCCCTAAAATATTTCATGCTGTAATAGCCATTTTGACAGTTCTACTAAAAATCTACAAAGGTGACATGTACAATAGACCAGAGATATTTTGATAACTGAATTGCCTCCCTTAAATATAGTAACTGAAGCACATCTTCCTTTGAATGAAATCTGGCTTTTATCCATCAGTTCAGGTTTAACTGAATCTGTTAGTGCAACACTTACGTTGCTAATTTATCTGCTCCCTTTACTGACATCTAATCCTTCTCTATACAGCAACCAGTGGGATGTTATTCTGACTTCCCATTGAACTTCAAGTTCAAATCTTTTCTTAGTATGCAGGAACTCTAAATTATGTGCATTCAGTTCCACCCCCTGTATACCTGCTCTCTACTCCTCCTGGTCAGTCTTGTTTGGCTTACTTGTAAATCCCAAGTCACCCACTACACTTTTTCCTGCCTGGGGTGCTGTGGGCTCTCTCCTATACTCTGGTATCGCTTTGTACCTGGGCCTGAAGACCTTTGCTAGTAAAGGAGGGTCTATATCAGTGTTTGTTCATACTTTGGGTCCATCCCCACTTTCTCTCTCATCCCCACTAAGGTGTGGGGTTTAAGTACTGATTGAATGGAATATTTTTAAATGGAGTGAAGCTGCCTGATACCTATTAATGTTTTTAAACTGTTCACTCTTCTGTAAATATTCACTCTTAGGAAGGGTCAAACTTATTACATCAATCAGGTACTTACTTCATAGATAATCTTACCTTGTTTACCATTTCTTCCCAGATTTCATTTGTCTGTGCCCCTACCTTAAAGATTACATATTTCCCACATGAAATTTAAAAAAAAAAAAAAAAAAACCTCCCCTTTTACCATCTTTCATAGAACCAGACACCAAACCAGGTTTGCAAAGTGCTAGAGCTCATACTGGTTGGATCATGTTCTAGACACCAAGTCCTTCGTGTGAGTTATGGTACAGTATGCCCATTTAATAAATGGCGGTAAGGGATTTAACAATAGCCCTTAAGTAGCTTCTAACTTAATTCGATTTTTAAAAATATCCAATCTCCATCAAAATCCTGACAACTCACGTGTATTAGGCCCACATATATGGTAGGAAATTTTACCTACCATTTTTAACTTTCTGCTCTGCGAACATGGGCACTAGTTACGGTAATTTCTCCAGCAATACCATAACTTCCAAAGGGAGTACGTTTGTCACCAGATCCTGAACCTTTTTTGGCTACATCTTCTACTGGGAAAGCAACAGAAAGAAAAACTGGACTTTGTGGTCTGGGAACATCTTGTCCACTTGGAGGACAAGCATTCTGGGAATTTGGGGTCTGTTTCTGGAATTTCTGATCTGCAGGAACAGCAATGGGTACTTGTACTGCAGCATATCTCTTCAAGGCATCTGCTTGTGAAACAACAGGATGTCCAGGAAGAGGTTTCCAATCCTGTGCTTCCTGAACATTTGAGCCTACTAAAATAAAAGGTGGGGCACTGGTCTTCTTGCTGTCATCCATCATCACATAAGTTGGAGAAGTAACTTTCGGTGGAGGCTGCAGAAACTGTGGATCCTTAGGATTAGATAAATAGAGGGTTGCCTGGGGAAAAGGCCCAGGTGCAGGTGGCGGTGATGGGCGACTTTGTTGATTCATATCAGTTAGACAATAAAGGGTCCACATGTTAGAATATGGTGGTGGTTGTCCTGCTTCGCTTGCTGCTATTGCTAAAAAAAAAAAAAAAAATTTGCAGGCATTAAAGATTTGGTCTCTGTATCAGGCGCTATGCACAGAAATGTCTTTGTAAACATCTTTTACATATAAACAAACAGCTGTAGTAATATGTGCGATAAAGCATGCTATAGAGAGGGCTAAGTAAATTATGTTTGGTAATGTGAAGAGGTTCTCTACAGTTGGAAAGTGAGGACAGTGCTGTGCAGCAAGTAACAGGGACACTGGAGTTGTGGCAGAAGCAGCATTCTTATTCTAAGCTGTTTCAAGGTACTCAGACTTCACACATGGTTTGTTTCTACAGGGTCCTCAGAGAAGAGGAAATGGCCAATCAACTCTTCTGGCTTTACTACTCTCCCTCCACCCTGGCCCCCCAACAACTGGTTGAAGTGTGTGCAAGCCACTGAGAAAGGCAAAGCATTTGCACAGTGATTTTCATAGAAACCCCAGCACTGGGTATCATCTTTTGATTGCATAATCAAAAAAGCCAAGGGGCCATTCATAAGCATCATTATCTCCCCATTACCTGCACCATGTGCAAAACATTACATAACCTAGGACTCAGAATCCCAGAAAACAGCCCTAATTTTAGGCAGGGTTTGAAGTGATAGGTCCTAAATGGCATTAAAAGTCTGGTTGGTCTCACAGGGCACCTTTAAGGAAAAAGTTGGTCTAGGAGTACCATCCTAGGAATGTATGGTGTCAAGTTTGACTTGTCTAATGAAGACAGTACTGTCTTGGAAAATGAGGCCCAGAAGATGGGGTGGTAGAGGAAACTTCCTCATGGACGGGCTGTACCTCTTGGGTCATCTACCATGGTCCAGCCTCCTTTCTCCCTCAGAAAATAACACCTAGGCACATGATTAAACTGCAGTGTTGTCAGTAAATTCAGACACTTCCAATTTTTCTTTAAAAGCTTATTAAAATATAAGCCAAGCCAAGTCTTTGGTTTTGTAGACAGAGTTTGACAACAACCTCAGTTTTTAACTTTTCTAAAGCACTGAGGATATCTGAGTACTGAGAAGAGTGACTTAGTATGGAAGTGCTGCTTGAGCCAAACACATAATGCCAGTCCCACAGGCTGTACTTCGCCACTGCCCTCAAGGCCTTTCAGCTGTGCAGAATCCACATCACTATGCCAGACAGAATTTCATCTCTAAACACCTGCTTTGGTGACAATCATTTTGGCTCTGGTAAGAATCAAAGCTGAGAGTTTCTGCAAAAGGAATGGGGGAGTCTGGCTCATACACATCCCATCCATCTCTAAAGAGAGAAGTCCCCTCTGCTTGACTAGACTGGGGCAGGAGGGGCGCAGACCAAATGCCATAATCAGATTGAGAGGGAGGTCAGATCTCTCTCTCACAGGAAAGCACTGACATAGCTCAGCAGCCAAGAAAGCAACCGGATTTGGGCACCGGGCAGGGTAACTGATGGAGAGAAGCCAGCCGCCACAGCTGTGCCTGCCCGTCCTGCTGCCACTGCTACGGCCCTGCTGCCCTGTGTGACAGAACTCCAACCTGACCCGCTCTCTCCATCCAGCTATGAAGCTGCTCCCTCAGCTGCAGGAAGTGCCTAGGCAAGAAATCAGTGCTTGATCCAGCTCCCCAAACCTAGTTACAGAGCTCTCCTGACTCAGTGCGAAAGCAGAGTCAAACACACCACCATTTCTTTCATTTTTGTAATGCCACAGCCTATGTAAATGTGTTGCTGTAGTTTGATTTTACTTCCACAAGTGAGAAATTTCAAACTAACACCCTACCAACTGGACTTTAGATCACGTATTTGATAGCTGACAATAGGCTCTAGTATTTTTCACTCTACGATATGTCTAACAATAACAAAATTGCTCAGTGACCAAACACAAGGTCAAGTTTTAGTGATGTCACTTTAAAATCACTCATCTCGTAAGAGTAAAATCTTAAATACAACAAAGCCTTTAAATAGGTTTGGCATTTTCAAAACTTAAAGACCTAACCAATCTGCATGCAGGGAGCCTACCTAGATGGTTACCCAAAATACAGATGTCACCTGAAATATAATTTTTAATTTTGTAAGCATTTAATTTCCTTACCTGGCTCCACCAAACCTTGTTCAGGCGTTGCTTCCCCATCTGGTTCGAGCTCTGGATCAAAAAGACCTTCTGGAATTGGAGAGGTGGGGCCACTAGATGATCTTACAGATGCACCTGAGTATGCTGCTTCTGCAGCTTCCTCAGAGAGCACAGGACTGGCCTCCATCTCCTGGGGTGCAGAGTGTTCCCATGACTCCTCCTGCCCAGTATTGCCAGAGCCCACTGCATCCAGGAATTGTGCAGGCTGACCATGAGAGGTGTCAGAGAGCATAACTCTTGCTATTGCCTCCATCTGCACACTGTCCCGTGAAATTATTGCAGGACCTACAGATCTTTCAGACATGGCTGAGGCTCTTTTGCCTGACAGAGATCTGGGGCTAATTGGTGATTTCTCATTTTCATTAGGACCACAAACATCATCAGCAGAAGGGCTATCTATTTGTCCTGGTTTCTGCTGGACATAAACAACTCCTTCAGTCACAGGCTCATCTTTATAGATAGATGATATATGAACAGTTGATGTAACCTCAACATCAGCCTGCAAAGAGACCTTAGGAGCATGATCATAAGCAGGAGGTTCTTGTTCATCCTGCAAGGGGGACGAGAAAGCCGGTGTTGGTTCATTGTCTTTAGGTTTAGAACCCAAATCTACATAGACAGATCTTTGGCTCAGCACCTCCTCCGATAAAGTAGGCATACTTGTTGCCAC